GAAGTAAAAAACTATAAAATGTCAAGAACTAACTCAAAATAGTGGGTGAATAACATGAAAAATCATGTGTAAAAATGAACCGAACAATACTCCCCACCATTGTCGAACCGGAACACTTTGATGGATGCTTGGAACTGAGTGGTGATCATAGCATGGAATTCACGAATTGTGGTAGTAAGATCACTTTTATGGGTGAGCAAGTACACCCATGTCATGCGGGTGCAGTCATCTATAAATGTAGCAAACCACCTCTTGCCAGTAGAAGAGACTTTAGCAGGGCCCCAAACATCGGAGTGAATCAACTCAAAAGGAAATTCTGTTTTACTATCACTTGATGGAAATACAGTGCGATGGCTCTTGGCCAACACGCATGTTTCACACTTAAACTGAGAATCAACTAAGCCTTGGAATAAAGATGGAAACAACCGTCGAAGGTAGCCAAACGATGGATGTCCTAAGCGACGATGCCATAGCCAAATCTGTTGTTGAGCACGTGAGTTTTGAACATGGACAGCTCGTGGTGGTGATGAGACCGTCAAGGTATACAACCCCCCTCTCCGTTTACCATGCCCAATCGTCTCGTGAGTCGTAAGGTCCTGAAACTTACAATGAGAAGGATAGAATGTGGCATAACAATTATGTGAGTCAAGGAATTTCCCAACAGACAACAAATTGCATTTAATAGAGGGGACAAGTAGTGTATGAGATAAAGATAATTTAGGGGAAAGTGATATAGTCCCTTCTCCAGCAACATTAGAAGAAGCCCCATTGGCACTAGTGATGTAAGGATAATGAGATTTAGGAGATAAGGTGGAAAAAACAGTGGAGTCAAAAGTCATATGATCAGTGGCACCAGTATCAATTATCCATGTAGTAGAGCGTGTACCTGAGTCGGGGTTGGAGTCGGAGAGTAAGGCAGGAGATGGAGACTCACCGGTAGTCATGACATAAGCAGCCTTGGGTGCCATGTTGCGGGTCTTGTGTGAAAGTATGGATACGTAAATGTAGCGGAAGATTTAAAGAACACAATAGGGGTACAACAGAACAAAGTAACCAAAGGGACACGAGTTTGAATTATGTAGGGACAAGGTTATGGAAGATAAGGTTATGCATAGGCACAGCAAGGCAAGGACAAGATTTAAGCAAAGGCAAAGCAATGGCAAGGATAAGGGAAAAACAAAATTACGTAGGGATAAGTATATGCAGCGGAAGGATAAAACAACAAAGGGAACTCAACACAAATTTTGTGTTGGAACAATATAGGAGCAAAGAAGTAAGGGCAAGATTAAGTAGAGGCAAGGTAAGGCAAGAACAAGGTAAGAGCAAGGTAAAACAAGGTTATGCAGAGGCAACCAAAATCGATTGCTCTGATACCATGCCAAACAAAGTGTAGAGATTTGTGTAGAGATAAGCTAGAATATGAGAATGTGAGAATGAGAGAAGATAATTTTCTGGTTTTAGAATTCTTTCTTATATCTCACATTACTTACAATCAACACATATATATACAAGTTCCTAAGCCCCCCAAGTTAGGCAACCAACCTAGTTAGGCAACCAACCTAGTCAAGCCCCCCAAATATTGTAGGTGCCAAACATAGTAGGTGCCAAACATTAATTGACTACATAATCAACACATTAATTGACTACATAATTAACACATTAATTGACTACATAATTAACAGGCTAGCTGTAATCGGTTATTGTTTTCACTTATATCTGTTACAAATTGTCTTACTTTTATGCCTTTTGGTTTCTGTTTATACAGATGGCTGGAACTTTTGGTTTTGGCCGTGACGGCTGGGTGAAGGAGCTTTTGAGGAATTATTGTAACAAGAATTTCAGAAATTGAGGTCTCTTGTGGCTTTTGGCAGGTTATTCTCCCTCCATATTATGAGATTCAATAGATTGTTCTTTAAAGAAATATCCATTATTGAATAAATTCTCTGTAGATATGCCATCCTTATGCAAAATCTGACTGAGAGGCTTAGGCCCCTTGTGGGTTTGAAAGGCTGCGATTATTGTGTTATTTGGAAATTGAGTGAAGACCAAATGTTAAGAGGAACTTTTTAATTAACAGTTACTAATTCATGTTTCTTTTTGTGACTAATTTTTAGATTGGTTATTTTTTTATTTTTTTTATTTTAGGTTTATTGAGTTGATGGAATGTTGTTTTTCTGGGGCTGATGAGAACACTCAGACTAATGGAGGAAATGAACTTATTTTCCAGTTTATCCAGTCCTTCCATGCACAGATACAATGCAGCACTCAAGAACAAATTCCTGTGATCTTCTTGCCCAGCTTCCTTCTTCTCTGTCCTTAGACTCTGGGCACCTATATATCCTTTTCATTTTAGCATTTTTGTTTACTCATTCAATCATAATTACCAATTACCACCATACATATCTTGACAAAAGAAATTAATTAGTTTTTTTTTATATCCTTAACCATGGCTGCTCATGAGCAGGATTTATGCACATCCATTAATATCAAACCAGCCCATTTGGTTGAACTCATCTTCTAACAGAGATTCAAGTGCCATGGCAGTGAGCTCACAAGTTCCCATTTTCCCTAGCTAGTTCCAAAAGAAAGTCCTTTTCTGAACATATAATTAAATGTAACTGTGTATTTCTACTTACATTTTGCAGGAAAGAGATGGGACCAGAGTTTTGGTTCCAAGTGCAGAAGGTTGATTGAGCTGTTTGTCTCCAAAGATGTATGATATTTTATGATGCTTCACTCAAACCTTGCTTTAATTTCTTATGTTAGATTTGAAATTTTATTTTGGTCACATCTCTCACAAATAGTTTTTTTTTTTTT